GGGGGGGGGGGGGGGGGGGACTCCAAACATTAACAGATTCTGAACGTAAAACCAACGACCAGTATTCATCTAAAACGAATCATACTGACCGTATATTATCTAAGAAAAGTTATTTAGCCAAGCAGAGAAGAGGTCGCTAATTAAAACATGTCGATATCTGATACCCTACGTTTAGACTGAAGCAGTCCTGTGTTTAAAGACACCAGAAGGTTCCACATATAGCGGACTGAGACTAAATTAAATGTAAAAGCTAAGGAGTACAGTCGAAATGTGAGCTTTTATCTTGGTAACGTTCACAAAACCACAGCACCGGAGAACGTTGAACGAACAGGCCAAGAACTGACAATAATAAATCACACTTAAATCCTTACCTGCTCATATCAACCCGTTGTCTGGTCCTCTGTCTCAACAATACTCCGTTTAGCCGGTAAAATATACAACGAGACGCAGTCCTTCTCCCGGTACGGGCCTCTGCTACTGACTGAGGGAACTGGAATGTGTTTAGGAAATTGCCAACGCGTCTCCCGGAACTAACGTATGTCCTCGTGCAAGACGTACGCCGTGACGTAGTTTCACTTTACATAACGTCTGAAACTAAAAGAGGCACTCCTTTTTCTTTCTTTTCTTTTCCAAGGAAGTGTTGGAGTTATGCCAATAACCACAAGGTGGCGTCCACAAGCGGACTAACCTGATCCTAGTGATAGATGAGAAACAAAATACATGTTTTTGATTAAATATACGTTTCAATCAAAACCATCCATCCATCCATCCATCCATCCATCCATGTCATTAGGTCACCAAACTAAAACATGGCCAGCAAAGTACACAGAACAACAGTGCATTCACATTTAAACCAGTTTAGAGTAGTTTACATGTGGCGTTACATTCCTACTCTAAGGGGCTAACCCTAACATGCATGCTTAGTGGACTGTGGAAGACAGCAGGGACATCCATTGGCTGAAGTGTGGACAAATTTAGAGAATGTCCTTTTTTGTAAGAGTAAAAAAAAAATGTTTGCACATGAAACATTTCAAGATGCAGAAATTAAACAAATTTGTATTCAATGTTTCACACTGTATGTTCCAAAGTTACTTGTATGTTTCTTGAATCAATTGAAGTTAGCACAATTGTTTTCCACTCATAAAAGGTCTTTTCCTCATTCATTTTTCTCATCTGGTCATATTCACAGAAAAGAAATTAGTAATGCAGACTGACCTAAATCACAAAAAGCTTCTTGATAGGTGAAATCAAATAGGTCTTTTTTGCAGTGTATGTAAACATTTGGTCACAATACACTCACAATTTATTTTATTACATAAGACTTACACATTGCATATTGCACTTTCCTCCTATTTACTTATTTTATCTTGTATCACTAAGAATGCTCCAAGTTCCTCCTGTAATTGTTCCGTGGAGATCAATGAAACCGTTTTTCTTTTTTTTTCTTTTTTAATTGAACTGAATAGAATTAAAACTCTTTGCTAATAATGGATTGTACCCCATTTTTATCTTGACTCAATTCTTAATGGAATAGATTAAACAAGGCATCTGACCATCCCTCAGAGATTTTAAAAGATCCATATTGTTCATGGTAGCATAGATGGCTGCTGAACATTTGTCAGCTGCACTGCACATCCATGATTCGAATCTCCAATCACATCCCAAAGGTTCTCTGCTGGAGTGAGATCCGGTCGTTGTGGAGGCCATTTTATTTTGCAGGTATACATTTATGTAAAGTTTTTTTTTTTTTCCTGTAACACAGTTAGGTGTAGTTATTTTTAGTGGCCACAAGGTGGTGCATAACAGCCAGAAAACAAAATGCTCCATACGAAAATGAATACAACGAAAGAACTGTCTCACCTGTCAGAAGTTCTTCTGAAAGTTTCAGTGTTTTTTGTTAAACACTTGAAAAACTAATGAAACAAATTATTGGACAAACATAGTTAACATAGCCAAACAAGCACCACTGACAGTGAGAGACGCGCGTTGAGGATCATCAAATATGTACCATTTAAGAAGTTGAACTGGATCCAATTGGACAGGTTTCTGCTGTCACAGGTGACAGGCCCTGTTTTACAAGACTATCTGGCCTCCACCCAAAGCCGCGGCGCAGTCAATGAGGAACAATGAACTAGGAGCACCTCGGTGCTCCTTCACTAAGGGTTCTTATTGTGAGACAACCCGTTTTCAGTATTTACTACCTCTACATGGCACTTTTCAAAGAGGACAGCCAAGACGACACACCGGAGTGTCCAGTATGCTACGAGATCCTGTCGGGCACTGAGCGGACTTTAAGCTGCGGACATGTATTCTGTCACGACTGCTTGGTCAAAACGCTGGTCAGCATTAACAGCGACGGAGTCATCAGGGACACAATTGCCTGCCCCATCTGCCGACATCTGACGTTCATCAAGAGGCAAAAGGAATCGCTGGTGGCACTCTCAGCGACCAAGTATCCAGATGAAGAACAGACTCTGGAGGTGCCTCTTCCTCCGACGGCGGCGCAGCTCCGGAGCGCACGGCGTGCCTCCGGGGGCAGCTTACTGAGCGGAGTTAACCGGATAGCCCACTGCTGCGGGAGTATCTTTCGACGAGCCCGTCAGGAGAGGTTAAACGGACACAAACACAACGCGTGTCAGATCTTCATCATAAGTGCCCAGGGGCGACCGATGGCAGAGGAGGATGCGCTCGATGTTGTGATGACAGTGGTTCACCCTCAGCGCAGGGAGAGTCGCAGGGTCTGCACCACGGCGCGATGCTTGCTCTGTCTGCTGACAACCTTTACTGTTCTGGCATTGGTGGCCGCGACTTTACCTTGGATTTTGTTGGCATAGTGCTGCTGAAGATGCACAACATACAAGATCCAAGTGGAAACGATTAAAGAACCTATAGGGACAATGTTTCCTTGGAAATCAACGTTGTTGTGCATGTGAGTTTCACTGATCAGCAATGTATCAAGATATGAACTGTGTGTTCAAGTATTTAGTTGTAGTCATATTGGACTATAGCTCTGTAGCGACAAATTAATTAATTTATCTCGATTAAAGTGATTAATAAAACAAAGACTTATATTGGCACATAATGTATATTGCTAAGCAACAGTCTAAATTAAAATTTTGCCTTGACAACAAGATGAATTAGTCATCAAATTCATGCTCATCATGAATAACAGCCTCTGTTTTCCAGCCTTGTAACCCCAACTCAACAAACAATCCTTAGATATTCAGAATGTTGCTAAAGAGGCCCGGATAATGCTGTGGTGTGTTGCTGTCTGCTGTGTTTCCAAGAAGCAATACATGAGTTTGTGGCCGAACCTGTAAAGCCACAGCCTCCCACTTTTCCAGGTAGAAACATTGCATTGCTCAAGTATTCACACACCTAGTACTCTTTCACATTATGTCACTTTACAAACACAGATTTCAGAGTGTTTTCCTGGGACAACACGTGACAGGGATAAAGCAGCTGATCCTTGGAACTCATAGGAACATTAAGTTCACATGTGATCATTTAAAAAAAAACACAAAATTAGGCACTAATTTATGTTGATCTATGGATTAAAGTCACAATAATATCAACTGAAGCGTGTGGTTGTAGCAAACTATGATCATAAAGCAGGAAATGATGAATCCAACGATAACCTCCGAGTCTTACTGAAGTTTTTATCTTTACGAATTATAGAAATGAGAACCAGCAAGAATCCTTTAACCAGTTACTCATAAAGACAGTGTAAAGGGAGACACCTTTGAAGGATCTGTTAGAAATAATTCATGCTCCCACAGTACCCTGAAGGAGATGAGCTTTACCTGTCTACTGTAAGGAGAGACACTGCTTGACTGATTAGATTACAAGAGTCCTTCAGGATACACAGCATCAGATCAAGACAAAAATATTGAACGTTAGATCACAATCAGTCGCTAAAAGAACCATTTTTAACAAACTCAAGCATTGGCAGTTCATTGTGCATTTTGTGGCTGAGCTTTAGGAGAGGTTAGACTCATCCTCTGTATGAATCACCATTATTTCCCCCACTATCTTCCTGTTGCAGTTCTTCATCCGACCTGCTTGGCCAGTTCAGCTGGTTACACACCTCAACAGACTTCTGCTACTTAATCACAAATTTGTTTCTCACATGTTAGTAATGTTAGTAATAATCCCTATTTAACTTCCATTTCAACAGACTGAATCCCCCCAAAAATGCATCACGTTACATGAGAGAAGAAAGAGAGAAAGAGCGTGAAGATGGTATCAAAATAAGGCCAAAGACAGAATGACAAGGCTCAGTGAACAAAATGTTCTAGCTCCTAAGTTAGTAGCAGGACATAAAAGACATGCCTTCACAACAAAACCTACAGACTGCAGAGGGTTGATGTTTGTTGATGGAAGGAAATAAAGCAGCAATGACCAAGTGGGGTTATTAAAAATGTAGAGTTTAATATATATTTATTTCTGACATTCTGATAAGGATTGCAGGTAGGCTTCACAGTACACACTGTGTTCCACTCATTATGCTAAGCAGAGAATGAAGGGTTGGGCATGGTGGGCTCGACAAGCGGCAGATTTAGTTTATACATTAGTTGTGAAAGCAGAAGGAGGCTGTACATCCACAGGCAACCTACACTCCTCCTCTGTATTGCTCAAAATCCCACAAGAGAGCGTCCATTGCGTTTCGCATGCTCTCACAATCCCTTGACACGACAGTGATTAACGAAAGGACGTGGTCTGTTTAAAAATATTTTCCAAGTGCATGCATGACTCTTTTTGTCCCTTCCTGATTTAAATCCACACAATATACAAATAAACTTGGCTTTGCTTTGGCGCGACATACCTGGTGATAAAGTAAAAATAGACCTATAGCCATTAAAAGCAACAGAACTGTGTATCATTAGGTGGAAGAAGTTGCTCTAACTAATATGCACTTAAAAACATAGCTGTAGTTAATTTACAGCAGCAACCAAAAATAAGGACTCACATTTTTTGGGAAAGTACAGATGTTTTGTTGTTGTTTTGTTTTGTTTTGTTTGTAGCTTAATTATAACACCTATAATGAATTAAGTGCATGCTTCCAGCTTGGCTGTGAGTTCCAGTTATGATGCTTAAAAGCGTTAGAGTAATACTGCCATGTTCTGTTAACAACACGTGCCAACAGTTCTGAACTAACTTCATCCAATCCTAACACTCACTTAACCTGTAGAGCAGTCTACCACTAAAATAAAATCTGCACCAGTCACATTCAGAGATAGTTTTGCCTCTGCGCATGAACATATGGATCCGGCACACGAAATAAAAACTTCTAACACACATTGATTATTCCTGTTGTTCAAAAGTAACAAAGAGTGAGGGCACTTGCAATTATTGTCATAAAGTTACCACAACTATCAAGATAATCAACATCACCAGAATCTTCATAGAGATAGTCAGTCTATTGAGAACACACACACACTGAGGCATACCATAGATCCCATATTGGGAGTACATAAGCTAAACTTAATTTTTGGATTCATCTTAAAAAAATGCTTTACTATGAACTCAATGGCTTCTTTAAAGTAGGTTCGGAAAAAGGCAATTTTGAGCTCTTTTTTTGGACTAAGGTGGCCCAGTAAACTCTGTAAATGTGCTTTAATTAACACCATCACTGCTCTGTGATGATTAGTATTACATAGAAAAGTGATTCTGCTGCAGCTCCCATCTGCTAAATTTCAAAATTCTCCAGTGCCTTGCAGTAGCATTAATACCCTTAGAACCTTTTTCATATTTCATATTCCTCTAGTTCCAACCTAAGTGAAAGCCAGTGCACCAAACAGCCTTCCAAAGTCACTTAATCAGCAAAAAAAAAAAAAAAAAAAAGAGTCCTTCTGTGAGTGATGTAATCTCAGTATAAATCTATCTGTTCTGTGAAGGCCTCAAAGATTTGTTATAGAACATTAACAACAAAACAGCAGCCTGACAATCAACGAACAGAAAGAAACGTCAGGGATAGAGTTGTTCAGCTATTCTAAGTGAACAACGTTAGAATATAATATGGCACAAATGCAAATCTACCAATATATAGCCCTCCGCTAAAACTGACAAGGCAGGCAAGGAGAGCATTGAGAAGCAGGTTAGAGGCCCATGGGGGCTCTGGAGGAGCAACAGAGATCCACAGCAACAGAGAAATGCAGGGTATATGAAAGAAGATGCTCGGGTCAGAGTTCATTAAATCCCTTCATGCAAAATTCTATGTGTGACAGAAAATTAAGACCCCACTATAAAAGATGGTTTAAGCAGCATCATGCAGTGGGGGTTGCTTTTCTACCAATGGGGCAGAGAATCTGGTCAGAGTTGATGAGAACATGGGAGAAAAAAACTGGGAGAGAACCTGTGAGAGGCCACAAAAGATTGGTGACTGGAGTGAATGTTCACCTTTCAGTGGCATACCAACTCTAAACAAAACGCGGAATGATTTACACCATGTGTTAGTAAGATCTAGAATTAAGAAATACTGGTAAGATTTGAAAACTGAGGTTAACAGACTCTCTATCCAATCTGCCTAAGATTGAGCTATTCTAAAAAAAAAAACAAAACAAACAAAAACAAAACCCCCCCAAAAAGAAACAGAAGCATATAAACCCCCAAAATGATGTCTCTGCATCTTCCCCTTCATTGTTATGCATTGCCATGTTTTGGTCAATAGAACAAAGTGAAGTTTGCTGCAGAGAAAGAGTTCAAGATGTAGTAATACTTCTGTAAGGCACTTTATAATCGTCTTGGATTAAAATTAAAAAATTATTTGGGTATTTCGAGAGTAATGTTTTTTTTTTTTTTAATGCAGATAGACCTGAACATTTTAGATGGAGGAATCATAAGCCGATCGTTAAGAGCTAGAACAGGACTGGAGATCTCAGATGAGTTGCTGCAGAGGGAACATTCTCCATGTCTGCTGCAGCACTATAGTAAAACGGTGTAAAAGTGAAGAAAAAAAAAAACAACATGAATCTACAGTACAACCTGTTCATTGTGTGCAGGGACAAAATATAACATCAAAATTTTAATCATGTCATTTTCTACACGATAAATATCAGCACATATATTAATATCATTATATGTTCCAGATATGCATTTTACATATAATCTTCCTCTCAATTTTATATACATAAACCTATGTACAGTCTTTGTATTTACACTCAGGGGTCAAAGGTCACTGAACCTGAAGCACTTGAAACAAAGTTAAGAGAGAGAATCACACAAACATAAAGGCAGTGTAGTCCTTCATCCGTCATCGTCAAGCTGCAGCATCCTAGCAGGCGTGAGGGTCAGGATTTACTCTCCGAGGGAAACAAAATTTGAAGATCAACACTTAGAAAGTAAAACAAAATCACTCAGAGGCCCTGAATCCGATCAAGCAGATCACTCACATCGGTTCGTCATGCAAAAACAACGTGGTGCTTCTTCCAAACGGAACAACGGGTGCAAGTAGAAAAAGCTTAAATTACAATAACATTCTTCTGATTATGTGCTGGTACAATGCAGAGTGAGTTTAGGTGAGTTTTACCTGTACATGTGTAAACACCTATTTTTTTCCCAGGTGGAGTAAAAATGAAGGGACTTTATTTAAACCGAGTTAAATGTTCCGTCCTGCATGGAAAGCCTGCCTTAAAGGGCCCAGTGTGTTTCCGACGTGTGCAAAGTTGAATACCCTGTGAGCCCCGCTCCCACTCTGTCTGTGTTTCAACCTGAGGATGAGATTTGCTCCAAACCATGCCAGTCTCCCGAAAGCCACTCGTTTGCACAACCTGCGGACGTCATATTGCAATTTGATTGCATGTTCTTATAAGGCAAAACAAAATAACTACAAAAAGATCGAGAAACGTAGAGCATTGCACCGTGAAACAAAATGACAAAGTAAAGCAAATAAGCAAAAAATAAATCGGTGATAAAAAATATCTTTATGTAATACTTATCTATTTCCCAGTCTTTTCTCTTTAAAGGCAACAGTTCATCCACTATGGCATTTTGGTGTTTTTTTTTTTGTTTGTTTTGTTTGTAGTCACATAAACGTAAAAGAAGCAGCTGAGAAAGATTAGTTTTCTTTGCAGCCTGTAGCAGGATGTGAGGAAAGGTTCATGTTCTGGTTTCAGGTGGGCATTTGGTGAGGCCAGTCATTGTGTTTCCGTCAGGCCTTGGTGTTGACAGTTCAAAGCATGTACAGCCACTGGGACGCTGGTAAATGATGTCTCGGGGTTATAGGTCATAGAATGGTGCTCTGGGGCTCCTCCTCAGGCACAGCGTCCCCCTCTGGAGAGTCTATCACTGCCAGGGACCTCCTGCAGGGGGCACCGCTGAACTCATCGATGAGGCTGTCCAGATTGACATTGATGGAGGGGATTTCATAATTGAAGATATCTAATGGTGAGCATGATGGGGGGGGAAAGGTAAGTGTGAAGAGTGAAATAGTGAAAATGGTAATCGTGAGTGACAAAAAGAGGAAAGGGGAAGGCATATGATGATGATAATGAAGTAAAAAAAAAATGGAAGAAAGCAGAAGTAATATTAATGCTTCTTATTTGAACTCATAGTGAGCGGTTTAAAGAACTCAGTAGATTATACGTGCTTCACATTCTACACAGGGATGTTTCCAGTTTGACGTTAACCGTAGCAAACAGTTAGTGTTGCACAGTGCCAAAAGTATTCACACTCCACAAACCTTCTCACATTTTGTCACATTGTAACCACAAACTTTACTGTATTGCAACGTCCACAAAGTAGCACATCGTTTTGAAGTGGAAAGGGTATATGACTATCAAAGTCATTTAGGCATAAAATCTGAAAAGTGCGGCCTGTGTGTGCACTCTGCCACATTTATCTGATAACCATTAATAAAACTGTTTTTCAGAGGTTTTAAGATTTTATTGAATTGTATGTAACTCAGTATAAACCCAATTGTTATATCAAGGCCTCAGAGTTTTTTTAAAGGGAATATTAATAAGCAAACTCTATCATAAAGACATAGGAATACATAGGAATACATTCAACAAGTAAAGCATGGTTTTCAATTAAGCGGGGAGACGTTTTAGTCAGTCTAGGCCTGACTTAAATGACAGTAGAATAGAAATATCCTTTATCGTCCCACAGTGGGGAAATTCAGTTATCACATCAGCTAACTAAGGCAAGCGGGACCACCATGTTCACACAACAGTTAAAAAATTTAAAAATAAGAAAAACGTACTCTGTCGTATGCACAAATTTACAACATAAGAACAATGGTGTGCTGCAGTTATTTAAAAATATATTTTTTCAATTGAGAATCTGTTGAAAAGCTACTGTTGTCTAAGATTGAGACTGAGTTACTTTGCAACTTTTTGGGATTTTATTTCCAAAAGAATTATTAAACAAGACCTATGCTCTGCTTTGTGTAGTTCATTTACATAATCTCAATAAAATAAATCTGAAAGGTTTTCGGCTAGAATGCGACAAAATGTGTCAAAGGTTCATGGGATGATAACTATTGTAAAGTAAAGTATGTCACAGCTTTTTGAAACTTCAAAGAACAGCAACACATTTCTTTTGTCAGCAAAAAAAAAAAAATATCCAACAACACGGTGACACACCACACGTCTACAACAACAGCCAAAACACAGAGGCAACAAGATGTGTGTGTGTGTGGAACTCTGTGGAGAAAGATGGCACTGAGACACCAAGTGGCTTAAAGTAACAATGGAAATCTCATTAATTCTGCTCACAGTATTTGCAGAAACTGTCGCTAATCTAGTGTGTTGCACCGTTTACTGGAAGCCACACGTCCAAACAGACTGATGACTATTCCTGTGTAGGAATGAGGTGGAACGTGGGAAGAGGAAGCAGAGGTTACGAAAAGCAATGAACCGGCCGAGTAGAAGAGCAGGAGCGGGTAGGGTGGGGTTACCTGAAGACCCCCGGAAAAAAGTGGCAAGGGGATGCCTGCCAGCACGGTACTCGGAAATAAAAAGGCACAGGAAGGGAGCGGGGGGAGGAGGGAGCTGCTTTAGGATGGACCTTTGTAAGCAATGGTTACTGCAATGTGAGCTCAGTGTGGTGCACTCTGGGAAATCCTTGAGCCATGCACCACTGGTTGACCAACAAAGTGCAAAAATACAATATTGCTGTTAAGAGGGTAATAGAAGATCTGATTGAGAGCTGGGGGTAAGTGTTTGAGGCAGGCTGCAGGAAACCCCAGAGGCATCCACACTACGATGCCAGGCAGTGAGATGGAGTGCATGGGGCGAGGGGCGATCTGGCTTACCCTAAAAGTCCCCCTCACACTTAGCCCACACTGAATCCCTGGCCTCACACAGCTGCAAAGTACACAATAGTAGCAAGGGGGGGACAAGAGAATGATAAATATAACAAAAAAAAAAAAAAAAAAAACGATTGATATATATTAATAAAACACCTGATCATCAGAACATAATACTGTAAATATAATGTGGGATTCTCTGGCTATGTTTCCATGTCTGCTCACAGGGAGAGAGACACTTGTCTTGAGCGAACTGTGTAAGCCTCTGACCTACCTCTGCCGCATGGGGTGGGGGTCTGGGCAACACAGATAAACAGAGAGCACATGATGAATCTAATGGCAAACTTCCATACAAGCAGGACGAGCTATGCTGTTTTGATGTTTCCACTGGTTACCCAGAAACATCATCACATAACACAAGCAATGAATACATAGGTTAGGAGATCTGCTCGCTAAGGCGCAAAAATGCTAACGTTCACATTGCATAATTCTCAGGTGTCTGTGTCTAAGAGGCCTCTTTGTTTTCTCATTCCGATTTTTGTTTGAGGAGTCATTTAAAGGGACAAGGGGTCTTCTGTGTCTACAGTCCTAAAGGGTCCTACACTCGTCCACCGTCTCCATTCGACAGAGCCACAGCGAGTCTGAGAGCGGGCCGCTGCAGCCCCACCTGTGGTGGTGGTGGGGAAGTGGTTTCCAGAGGCTGGTGTTTACCTGTAGACATGCTCTCTCCAGGAGACAGTCCATCCAGGAGGCCCTGCTCCAGAGGCTGAGGGACTGGAGCCAGGGGCGGGGGCGCTAGGGGCGGCTGAGGAGGAGGCAGGCTTGGTCTCTGCCTAGGTTTAGGGGCAGGCCGCGACTTGGTGAGTGTCCCAGAGAGAGAGGGCGGAGATGATAGTGAGTGGGTTGGCCCGAGTGGAGTCTGCCCAGGGGAGGACGGCGGTACTTGCCCTGGAGGACAGGTCAGTCCGTACGGGGAAGGGGTACTGGGAGGTGTAGGGGACAGGCTTACAGGTGATGGCTGACCTGTGGACTGGTCAGACATCCCTCCAGACTGGGCGTAAGGGACCTTTGGAGGCACAGGGGCCAACTTCTTGGAACCTAAAATCACAGAGAGCATTTTGATTACTTTGAATATATCAATACAAAACATTTTTAGGTTTTGGGAGCCAGTGAGAGCTCACAGCAAGAGAGGTAGTAACCTTTGCGCAGGGCGTGAGGGCTGTGCTCAGTTGAGTGGGGGGACTGACTGCTGCTCTGAGGGCTGCAGCTAGGGGGCACTGTTGGACTTGCCACCTGGATGCCTTTGTGCCCAATCACAGGGGAAAGCTCTTTACTCTTTAGCGAACTGAAAAGTAGGCAGATATCATGTGAACCAGGATGAAAACAGCAAACCATTGAAAAAAAAGAAAAGAAAGAAACTGGTCTGTCTGCTTTATGTCACCTCAACACCAAAACACCCAAAACCACCATCATCACCATCACTTGTAACAGATAAATTATACCAGAATTAAAAATGGGTTCTGAAAATCACAATATATGAAGAACAAAAACACAACTAACAGTTAAAACTTGACAGTCATAAGACTACGGACATGCTTAAAGTAAATAATGTTAGAAGTTCAAGAAAGCCTCAAAGATAGTTGTTATAATCGTGCAAAGCAGCAACATTTTCCAAATATTTACACTATGTATGACATGAAAAAGCAGAGGAAGCTGATTTTTCTTTTCACTTTTATCTACTAAATACACTGACATGCAATACTTTCTTGAAATAAACAGAGGTCCAATTTTTGTAGACCTGCAAATCATTGTAGATATATGTGACTTATTAAAAACGACATAAATACAAATTTCTTGACTTTTTGAGATTTAATTATTTTATTTATTTTCTTGGTTAGATGTATTATTATTACTCTTAAAAAATTGCTACATTTAGATTTAATTTTTTTTTTTCAAAAGTGTGCTGACTGTAAGTAAGTGGAGGTTTGCGGTCCTATTGACTAATGAAAGCAAAAAATAAAAGCGGACAATAGGAGACATATACTTTGTGTTTAACCTACAACACAGAGACATTCAGAGGGCCAAGAATGGCCTACTTAAAGCACAAATTATAAGAACAATTAATGGTTAAAAAAGTCTCATGAACTCCCTCAGTGATTGGAGGTTAAATGCAAATTTGCAGCCTTCATTCGAGACTGTTTCTTAAAATTGTAGTTGGAAGGGTCAATGCAGCATCAAATTCAAATAATTTTATTATTATTACATTTGGCTTGATTGTAGTTTTATTTCAGGCTAGAAATCAATGGCATCTCAATGTTTTGTCTCATTAATGTTTCAGTTTTTTTCTGCAGTGTGTTGCAGATTTAACACACAGATTAGGATACATACTAACAAATGGATTAAAGTTGATCAGGGAAGTTATGAAATATCTTAAGTCCGTAACATCTGCATCTAGTGTCAAAACAAATGAAATAATGGTGCAGTCTATACCTGTAGTGGGTTTATTTTATGCCACCCTCATGCTTTCACCTGTTCTGTGTGCTGTACTCTTCAGTCAGACAGATGTCCATATTAAAACAATTAGCTGTGCAGAGAAAAGCTAAAATGATAGTCATCAAACTTTATGTTTAAAGCAAACCACTACATTTAAAAAGCTGAAAAATGACCTATCTCAATGTTTTTTTAAGCAGACAATTAACTTGAAGCATGATGAGGCAAAAATATCAACAAGTCATATCAACATAAAGAATAAATATGTTATGTTATCACTACAGCAAACTTCAACCTGTGAATAATTTTAGCAGGAACAAGACGTGCGCTTACAGAAGTGGAGTCACATATTCATGAAAAAGTCCTAGTAAAACCATTGAAACATCAGTTGCTCTCAAGACGTATTGTAGCATTTAAAACAGTTTTCAGATTACCATATTAGAATAAATAACAAAACTAGTTTAAGTAATTTAATGCTTAAAAAAATGACTGAGGGCTAATTATTCATGTGCACATTTATTTCAAATAACTTTAAAGCTCTTGAGTTTCTAAGTCGCTGGCCTGGAGAGCATTGGTTTTAATGTCGCCTCTTTGTAGAGGCAAACTGCAGTTCTTAAACAACTTAGATTAGTATCACCAGTAAAAACAAACAGATGAATAATAATAATAATAATAATAATAATAATAATAATAATAATAATCTGTGAAATTTTCAATTTCCTAGGAGAAATTGTGCTGAAGAACTGGCTTTGGAATCCCCCTGATAAAAATTCAATTAGGCTTTTTTCTGTGTGTTCAGTTTGTGTTTCAGCTAAATTTCTAACCGCAGCAGATCTCCACCTCGCTCGGACATTGGTGAGATTTTTGTTATTCGAGTTTTACCAAGGAGTTGTGTGTCACAAGCAGGGGTGTGACTGGGATGACAAAGTTTTGTCTGGTTGACTCACATTCTCCTTTCTTTGTGTAAGTAAAACCAGCAAAACAACGAGTTAGGAAAAAGGCCAAAGTCAACATTAGACTACAAAATTAGGAGCTTTGCTCAAATAGACTTTTGATCAGGCATCTAAAGCTCAGTTAAAAGGTTTAACAATACTTAAAAAAATGCTTTGAATGAGCTGGTTAAAAAACAAACAAAAAAACAACAACACTGTAGACGTAAACATTAAAACAACCAAATATCATTTGAACAGTTCTGGTTGGAGAGACATCCCACTTCAAAACACTTTTCCAGACAACCTGAGCGTCAAAGAACCAGAAGTCAACTGAAAGGGGAGGGGTGAAAAAGCAAAAAGCAAAATCTGAGCCAGCGAGCTAGAAGAGAAAAACAGCTGGCGCTCTGTGATGCACCCACAGTGGCCACAGGAGTGTTGTATTTACCTAGTCAGCCTGGGGGGTCCTCTCTCTCGGACACATGGACAGGCAGCCCACGGCGGGGGTGGGGGAGCGGACGAAGGGAGGCTAGGGGGGTTGCTGTGACTTTGGTCATGGCGGGTTAGTAGCAGGGGGGTTTTGACATAGAGCGGAGAAGCGTTAGTGTCGAGCGGAGGGGCTTGTGACAAGTCACCTGGCGGGCTGTGCTTGGGGAAGTGCAGACAGCTAGGTTTGGGGTTTGAATTGATGTCGAGTGACGAGGAGGAGGAGGAAGAAGAGGAGGAAGGGGGCGGGGCGGGAGGAGTGAAGCCAGACCAGCGCACTGGGGGTGGTGGCGAGCCAGGGGGCTGGGACTCGGGACCTGGTGCCACAGGACGAGCGCAAGGTGGGGGTTTGGGATAAAAGTGGTGGGGGACGGAGTGGCACGAGGAGGAAGGGTAAGGAGGGGGCGGCCGGTCCTCCCCAGGGGTTGGGTGGGCAAAAGAGGTGTCTGGCCGATTGAGCGACACGTTCTCTGAGCTGTAGACATTAAGAGAATAGACAGCACAAATAAAACAGCTCTAGAGGTTGAACAGGGAATCGCAGTGGAGAAATAAAGAATAATAAAGCTGCTGCCATGATTCGGTGTTAGTTAGTCTGTTGCTCAAACACGGTGTAAAAAAAAAAAAAAAAAGCATTTTAGGCAAAGGTTATGGCACCAGCCTTCAGACACAGCCAGCCCAGTTCAAAGTGCAAATACAAAGACAAGCACAAAGAAAAAGCAGAAAAAAGAGTGTTTTATTGGCAAAGGAAAAGAATACAGCGTGTAACACTTCCTCTGTGATCACCTTGTGTCTGCACACTGCAGAGAGCTCTGAGGATCTTTCTCTGTGAGCCAAAGCGTTCATCCGCAGCTCACAATATTATCAAGCGGATCTCCTCACTGCTGGAAATGGAAACCTGAATTCGCAATATATGACTTGTTTGCATCCCGGGTCCTGCAGTCAGCCCAGGGCAGTGTGAAACAGACACAAAACCCTTTCAATGGCTGAAAGAGCCGCGGGAAATGAGGATAAAAGCAAGCCAAACCAGAAGCCAAATTATCTCGTCTGCCACATGGGCCGAAAAAATGACTGAGGGTTGATTATTCATGTGCTTGAAGGTGATAATGAAAGCCCAGAAATGTTGAAATCAGTGTGTCGAAACAGAAAAAAATAAATAAATAAATGAACTGCAAGCTAAAAAGCCAAAGCATTACTGACAGACAGGATATTTTAGCATGCTTGCGAGGACCAAAAAAACATTGAAGCTCAGCGCCATAAACGTAGATCCAAATTCACCACAGAATTTGGACAAAAAAAAAGAAAGGAAAAAGTTACACAGTCACGAATACATGACAAAGAAGTGAAGTGAGAACTTAACAATGCAGAGAGAGAGAAACAGAACGGAATTAGACTGAGACATCGTGGAGACGTTGCAAATTAATGAAGAAAATGGGTGACACATCCTCCCGTCTGAGAATGCTTATGGTGGTGATGATGGTGGTGAAAGTAAGAATGACCTGCTGCGAATACGTGAGCAACAAGGGGACAGCGTCCCTGCGGCGACTTACCAAACCCTTTCTCCAAGCGGCGGCGTGGCGGAGGGCGAGGTGGCGAGCTCGCCGGGTTGCTCGGGGATGAGCGTGTCAGCGGGGGAGCCGGGTCCTTGCATGCCAGGAGGGGTGGAAGAAGTCTTGCGCGTCAGCGTGGAGGAACCCTTGCGAGACACCCAGGAGGTATCCATCACCCTGACGCCCATGCTGGTGAGAAACGCGAGAGTCACGCACGTCGGTGGCAACATTAAGATGAATTTAGCTGGGATGGGGAGGGAGGGAAAGAAGTGGGAACAACGGAATGATACGGTACCTTTGTATCTTCCTAATGCTGCGTTAGTAGGGGAGATAAGAGGCAAAAGGGATATGAGGTCATAAGTGATGCAGATACGGTTCACAGCACAAGAGTAGAAGATGAGACACTCTGGCGGTGGTCAGGGAGAAGGGAAGTTCGGGAGGCGAGAGGAGGTTCACGACAACAACTGACTCCTGTGGAGAATCCAGTTCATTTCCATACATATTCATGACTTGAAATGAACTAAAAACGAATCCTAGCTGCCTTTCAGTAACCTGTATCTGTTACTGCTTTACTAACTTGGTTTCTTATTTCTCATCATCATTTTTCTCTTTGCACTGGCAGAGTGAATGAGTCAGGCCAGGTGACGCACTAGCCAGACTGTGAGGGTGGAGCTTGGTGTGGGAGGACATGAAGATAAGTCAAGAAAAATATTTCCCTGAAAAAAAAACAAAAAGAAAAAAAAACAAAAAAAACACTTGCAGCCCTCTATCAGCAGCTTGTTGCTATAGAGACGATGATACTAAGGCAATTCAGACCCCCGTCGTTGATGAATCCTGAGAACATGGGGGTGTATTTCTATGTAGGAGAATGATAAGTGGGCAGATACTAGGATGCTCATCTCTCTTGTCACGTGTGGAGGTTTCAAACACACGAGGCACAAAATGTAGATTTTCTTAATGTTTTCTGAACGTTTCCCCACTTAGGCACATTTATTCAATCTCAGATGCATGAGACGAGACGAGGATAAGAAGAAAGGGAGAAAGAGAGAGAGCGAGCGAGCAAGACGGGCGGGAGAAAAGCAGCACTTGCCATCATACCCGTCTTTCTTGTAAAACTCCAGCATCATGTTGTCAGTGGCGACACTCAGTGGGCGTCGGCTCTGGTCGTGCTGCTGCTGCTGCTTGCGTTCTGACTGGTCCATGTCCGGCGAGGGCATGGAGCTGTAGTTGGAGTTGTGGTTGGTGTGAATCGGGCTCCCGTAGCAGCCTGTCAGATTGAACTCGATCTCTGCGGGCGGAGGCGCACACACACACACACACACACACACACAGACACATCAGCAAACTGCAACACAGGGCCATCTGAAAGGATTTCAATCCAAACACATTCTCTTGAGATTTTATGTCGTGGACTAACACAAAGTGATCGTAAAGCAGAAGGAAAAGGGATCTGTGACGTTCAAATTGTTTTAACCAAAAGAGATCTAAAAAGCTGGATGTATTCAGGCGCGGCTGGGTTGATACTCAAAATCCACTTTTTGCAGTTACAGCTCCAAGTCTTTTGAGTTATGTCTCTGTCAGGTTTGAACACACCTTATTCCTGCAAAACAGGATTTTGGATTTTGATGTGGCCTTTGACTGGGTCACTGTAACACACCTGTACCAACCAGTATCTTTAGGCTTGTTGTCCTTATGGAGGTCGTTTCAGTCAGTATTTCAGTCAACAATGGATTTTTTTCAAGCCACTCTTCCAAAAAGGCCTGATTTATAGACTGCGTGACTAATAGATGTCCGATTAACACATTCTGCCACATCAGTCTTTTGGCTTTTTCTCAACAATTTTCTCCTTGCCAGGCTTGTTAGTTTAGGTAAGTAGCCATGTCATGGTTTCCATTTGTTCCTTTGTCTTCAAGATGTTCAGTATTGGCCAGAAGGTTCTGCAAGAAACTTCTTAGGCCTTCGCATAACAGAAGTATTTATACTCAGATTAAACTGCACAGAGGCCCTATTTACTAATTTGTTGACTTCTGAAAGCAATAGGCTGTATCTGATTGTACTTGGAGTTATCAGTAAAGGCAGAATATATTTATTAAACAACTTTTTGATTCATATCATGTATCATTTCTCTTTCATATCTAGATGAGGCCAATACACCCATACATAGACTTTTATTTATCAAAGCTACAGAAGATATAGATGACTTTTTGTATTATAAATACAGCATTGAAATGAATGTACAGTAATATGCTGCAAACATAAAGAAAAAAATGGATTTGCACTGTGAATTGTCTAAATAAGAGTTTCTGCAGATGTGTCTGATCTAGAAATACTGATCTAATACACAGAAGCAAAGAGGGCAATAAAATAAGGAAGTATCTTCACCAAGGTGATTTGATAACCCAGTATAGTTGCATAGCTACAAACTATGTTTCCTAGCCTCATTCTAATGGTCCCTCCTCTATGTATTAATGTAATTCTGACCTCCAGGGAAGAACCAGTCGGCATGCTGAATAATCGGCTCAATGATGCCAACAATCTGCAGGGAAACAGTGGTCATCATCTCCGTCATGTTCCTAGAAAGAAGAAACATAGCGTCTTGTTTACACGCAAATCAGACCCAACATTTGGTAAATCAATAATGCAGCAGGAATACATACGGTTCTGTTTGAGTCCACAGCAAGTTAGGTCCGAGGACAATGGCCATGTTACCAGGAGTCATTTTGTTCGAGTCCTGATATTCACTCAGCTTGGCTAAAAATTTTATAAGATATCTGCAGGATTGGACAGAAAAGTCCAAAGTCAAGGTGACATATTTTTTCAATTCTTAAGGAATCTGTTTTTTTTTGTTGTTGTTTTTCTCATTTGTAAAAAAAAAAACAAAACAAAACATCATTTCAGTCATGTTATTGGTAAGACACCTTACAATATTTATAATTACATGTTGGAAAAAATACAGCAGTTCATGTCTTCAGGTTGTCAATACTGAAAAAGACTGACTATACTATCTCCTTTTAAACCTGCTTTAACTTTTAAGAAGGGAATAAATTTAGAAAGTCAGAAATAATTTTAGGGAAGATTTATACACACTAACTCTTATTATGGACGGCATAACAAAACCAATCAATCTGCTAAAAAAAGACAAAACAGCTCACCTGAAATTGTTTAGGTTGTCTGTGGGGAGTTTTTCACATACTGCCATTAAGGCTTGTAGTCTCTTGTCCATATCTTGAATGCTGTGGAAATATTAACGACAAAAATAAAATTCTAACATTTTTTTATTTTTTTTATTTTTTGGTTTCACATTTTATTAAATGTCATCATTCTTTATGAAGACTTTGGACTACTTTCTAGTCATCATAGCCAATGGCATAATCCAAGAAGTGTTTTTTAACGAGAGAAAATCAACTCACTTGGAGGCCTGAATCCATTCATCATAAAGTTCAGTGGTCATTAGTGGCTCTGGGAGTTCACGGAGGTATGATTTCAGGGCCCCTGCGGACGTAAAAAATGGAAAAGAGGAGGGAAAAAATTGGTCAGCTCTCTCAGAGGGTGGAGGGATGTTTTCTTTTTTTTTTTCTCTTTCTTTCAAGAGCTTGTGAGGCCATGCCCCATATTCCCTCCCCTCCAGCGGGCCCTTGTAGTTAGTACAGCTGCCAGATTCAGATCGTTCAACACAGCTTTCATGTGTTCATACGTTTAAAAGACAGCGTTATCTGGTCGGGATTATGGCGAGTCTTTATACAGCTTCTGTCAACCCTCTTATAGCGCTTCGAAAAAGTTCTAATACTACTTTAATATTTCCTTTTATCTCACTTCACAACCATTCCAGTATATTTTATTGAGGTTTAATGATTATTTCAGCACAGAGCAGTGCATAGCCTGGAAGAAGTGACTGAACTCTGTGAATGACCATGAGTAGGCAGGTCTGCAGTTGAGTCATGCTGTTGTTATGTTTAGTTGTTGAATTGAGCAAGATGGTCAAAGTTTTTTCTGATGTGTTTAAAGTTCTCTACAACTCTTCCCTGATCTGGCTCGTGTGTTTGTTGGTATTTACTATGGTGTGCTTGCTAATGTTCCCCAAATACATTTCTGAGGCCTTCACATAACATGGAAAGATTCCTGAAGGCAACTGACTTTATTTATTTAGCGGGAATCAGAGTAAAGGGGGTTGTGAACATGCACTTTTTTTTTTTTGTCAAATTTAGGAAGCTTCAAAAAAAGCACCTTTAGATTTGTGGTAGTTAAAGTTTGGCTACAAACGATTTTCTTTCTCAGCACCTTATGTCCAAAACCCACGAGGAACTAAACTGAAGAACAAATCTTTTCCCGCATGAAAATCTTTGTATTTCATTCCAAAGGACTTTGAATATGTGTGTGGGTGACGTTCACCTGCGATGGCGTGCGGGTCAGAGGAATACTCCTGGACGTCAAGAACTCCGCAGTCCAGCGAAGCTTTCAGCTTCTTCAGCTTGGAGGCAGATGGAGCCACTCTGAAGAGGCCCTGCAGACGACGCACCATGGAAATTGCATTAACACGACATGAATAAATACATATTTTAAACCCTTTAAATGTAATCCTACAGCTGTATGCATTTGGGCTCATTTTGAATGCAGCAAACAAAACACAACTAAATTCACACCCACAAGGTGTAAGTTTTGCATGAGTGTGAGGGCGTGCTTGTGCTGTACCTCCTCTTGCATGCCACATTCTAACAGCATGGTGACGCAGGCCTCAATGGGAAATGCAATCTCTCTCCCACTAATATTCAGGTGCTCCTCCAGAGACTTGCCAAATGATGGCTTCTCCACCCACGCCTCTGCAACACGCAAAGCGAAAACACAGATGCGAGACGACGTAAGTTGTTCACAAAGAACATTTTCCAGGAGACAAAATCTAAAAATGTGAACTGTATATGCAAATGAATCCAGTCTTGCATTGTGTTTAAGCCAGTGTGCTTTAATTACTACAGTATATAATCATTGCTAAAGTATGGAGTCATTTGACATCTCGGAGAAATTAAGCTCTCTTTTTATAATGCTGCCGTTATATAGCTTCAGGTGCAGAAACAGAACGGAGCTCTGCTCAGACACCTCCGCGCTCTGTGGATGACTCACCTTGGTGAGCTTTAATCTGGGGCAGGACACTGTGAAGTATTTCTAATGACTTCCTGTGATACTCTGCCTGTGTTTCTATTAGCTAGAGAGGGGTGAAAGGGAAAAGGCAATCACAACACGCAGAAATGCATATGCAGTGCTGAAAAAAGTATTCTTACGCTTGAACTTTTTTTTTTTTTTTTTTTTTTACATTTTCTCATGCAAAACAAAAACTTTTTATATATTTTACCTGGATTTTATGTGAAAGACCAAAAGAAAGTAGATCAGATTTAAATTAAACCTTTTTTGGCCTGCATGTAAAACATATGCAATACACATCATTGAGGAACTTCTTTTTTCTTCAACTTCATAATAATGCATGACTTTGTTTTAGTCCCTCTGAAATCCCAGCGGGATACATTATAGCTTTAATGAGATAAATTGTGCAATAGATTGTGGTGGATAAACATTCTAATAATCTCATTAAAAGACACACTTGCTTCTGTGTGTGACTTTGAGTAAAAGGAAAAAAAATCAGTAGCTTAAAAATGTGATTTACTTACTGTCTGGAAGAAGTTTGCATAGTCTATTTCTTTGGCCACAAAATTGTACATATCTGCTGACAGCTGATCCTAAAAATTAAAGTGGAGAATTAAAGATCCTGGCAGCGTGGTCCACTTATGTCTAATGTGTTCACAACATTTATAAATCAGAGAGGAAAAGACACCAAGGAGGACATGATTAATGATTTGCTCCGTCTGGTGACTCACTCTACAAATCTCCATCCTATTGGCTGTTTCCTCCATCTCCTCTCTGAGGGACTCGGACTTGGCGCCGGGCTGCATTGTGCTTGGATGGCTGGATGACTTAGATGACTGCTGATATCTGTGGTGGAAAAAAAAAAAACAAACAAAAAAAAAACAAAAAACAGAAGTACTGCTCTGGATATGTCGTTTATCTGGCACATTTTTTACCATGAGTGTTACATTAACAGGAGCGGATTGCAGCCTGGGATTTCAACATAAACGCCTTTCACCTTGTTCGCGCCGAGTCCATGTCCAAAACAAGTTTCGCTAAGTGCTTTCTCTGCTTCTGGATGTTGGGAATATCCACCTACAGATGAAAATACCAGTAATTGCGATGTAAGGGACGAGAAATAAAGCGCATGAGGCTGAACGTTTGTATTAGTTTCACCTCTGCAAGCACGTAAAGAGGCTCCACCACATCTCTTTCTATTTGGAGCTCAAACTGCAGCAGCTCCTGGGCCAGCTTGTCTTCTGTGTCCCCACACAACTTCAGCATCTTTCTGTTGCATGGCAACCAAGAGAATACACGATCAATGACATAGAAAACGTTAATCAAGAAAGAAGGAAAGAAAATAAATTGGTAATTAAAGATGACTGTGTGCGTTACCCCAGGAGAGAGTCATCCCCCAGCACCGCCGCTCCCTCCTCCATGCACTGTGCCAAGATTGTGAGCGGAAGCTTTTTCTGACGGCAGAGAGAGAGAGAGAGATAACGTTACGAAGACATCATCGTCAGTCACCGTGCAGCTTTCCATCACCGTCACAGAGGCGGGCACTCACAGAAGGTGACTTGACAGATCTCTTCTCTGTGTCAGTGCCCTGCTGACCCTGCAGGCAGGCGGTCAGTTTCTTGTGAGTGCTATGTGTCACCTGCTTGACCAGATCCAGACGCTTCTCCACCTGCACACAAGCGGCCACACGCAGGAAGCAGCTGAGTGCTAATGTCTGCGCGAGGACGCAACGCTGTTCTCACAGCTGCACACGTCTGTCACCTCTCTGCAAGCTTAGCAATTCATCAGGAGTTTACATTTCAGATAACTGCCTTTGGGTATTAAAACTTTCTAAGACGTAATCACTAAACGTTTATGTACGGCAGAGGATTAGGGCCACTGGAAAAAAAAAAAAAAAAAATCTGTTTTTAATCTCAGAATTCTAAAATTAAAGTCAGAATTTTGACTTTTTTGTCAGAATTCTGAGGTTAAAGTCAGATTTTTTTTTTCCAGTGGCCCTAATCCTCTTCCATATTTATGTCATGCCATTACTACAGTTTAAAATTTAAATTAGGTGTGCCAGAAATTTCTCTTGCTACATGTAGTACTGCAGCACTTCCATTATAAATAATGCTGTCTAGCTGACTGAAAAAATAAATCCTTTTTTTATTTTTTTTAAACTCAGTAACAAGTAATTAGGAGTATTTCTAATTACAAAAATCATTGACTCTAGAGGGCAGTAAAGGAGAATTGTTGACAAAGTAATGGGAGATATTTAAAATTTCCAGAATAAAACAAGACATCAAACAACAATAATGAATAAAACGGAAATGAAAAAAAAACACGCACACACCCATTAATAAAACGAATTATGAAGTATCTGTAAACAAAATTGCCCTTCAAAAAATATAAATCAACACAATGTAAATGCTATTAATTGATTAATCACTTATTAGGGCAGTGGAAAACTGTCCCCACTCTCAGCAGACAGACTAATAAACTAGCTAACATTGCTTTGGTTTACTCCCACTGTTGCTTTATAAAGAACAAAACTGTAGAGTTGTCAACTCTCACTCTTCTGGAGTGAGAGTTGAGCTTTTCTTATATTTCTCACTTCCTCACTCTGTTGAGATAAATCTCACAACAAATAATAAAGGTGCAAAGACTCAAAAGCAAACCACTGTTCTCCACACCACAAGCAAATATGTAGAATTAAATAAAGTTAGTAGTTTTCAAGTGATTATTACCTAACTAGATGATTTTACTTTGACATTTAGTCAGGAGCTGCAGTCAGCGACGTTCCAACTAAAACAAGGCTAAGGGTGGGGCTCCTTTATTTCAAGCTATATTTCCTTACAGCTGCAGTAACATTTCATGTTATTAAGGTTAAAGTGTAGTACCTCCCTTTTTTCAGCCAGCTAACTGGCAGTGCACAGCAAAATGTGGGAAAGTGCTGTATTATCTGGTGCTCTGTGAAAATATTGCAAACTCCAGTTAATCCAGCGCTTTCTCTGCAGTTTGTTAAAAAGGCCTTAAAACATTCAAAATGTATGAGGGGAAATTTTTTTTTTACCAATATGGAAACCATAATTTTAACAGGCTTGTTCCATCTTGACACTGGCATCTGTCCTATGCCTCATACACACTAAGTGAAAACGGCTTGGACACCGAGTCCTTAATGTGAGGTTACTGATTTCAGTCCAGTTCATGCTGTTAGCCACGCTTTTCTAACACAAACACATCTTTACTGCAGCTCACCTGTAGAAGATCATCACTCAGCACTTCGGTTTTTTCTGCCCTGTATGGATAAAAGTTTGAAACAAAGTTTGGATATTAGTCGATTCAGGCTTTTTTTTTTTTTTTTTTAGCACATTTCAACTTAAAGCTGAACTGTTAAATGCATAAAGACATGACAAAGACTTTAACATTCCATGATATTTATTCTTAGAGCAGCATCTTCGGCTCTATTTTGTCGTTATGTCTTCACATGTCCCAACATGGATGAACTCATTAACCTTCTGAACATCATCCGTGTGGGAGTTGCTGCCAAATGGGTCACCCGCTTTCCCCGCACCTGTACGAGAGAGAGTGTGTGTTTATGTGGCTGCCTCTCCGGCGACTCATGATCTCAAGCGCCACTTAACAACAGCTTATTAAAGCCACTGATTCAATATGCCACTTCCTACTGAGGTGCTCTGCGTCCCACTGTGACTCCCGCAGGCGGGGGGCTCGACTCAGGCCCGTAAGTGAGGGCAGAGCTGCGATGTTGATGAGGCTGATAAAGCCACTCAGTCAAAGAAGTGAGCCAGGTTATTAGCTTAAGAGGTGCAAATAAAGTCAGAAATAAATGCTCTCTGCTCTGTTCAGGCAGCTTGTGTTTGATAACTTCAGCCCTTTAGTGATTAAGGTGTTTTCAATAGAAACCTTTCATTTGATTTAGAGGAATGAAGAAAATAAGTTGAATTCTATTCCAGAATATATTTTTATGTCTAACCCCACCCAATCAGAGAGAACTCTGTTGAGAAATTACTGTTTAGAGAAAAAAAAAAAAAAAAAAAAAGACGGCTTCAGGCTTACAGGAGTCTGCAGAGCGTCTGAACGAACCACACCTGCGTACCCCCAGAATCCAGTAAGAATGCTCTTTCTGCCCTTCAACTTCCTGTCTGCACAGCCCCTTCCTGCAATTGTGCCTGAACCATGCAAATCTCAGCGGCAAATAATGAATGAGAATTTGTGTTTAGCAAAAGAATGGGCAAGACCTGGGTTTGTTGGTCAAATATTCATCAACATAAAATCAGCAACTTGGAGCTGAAATACTCTTTTCGTGTTCAAAGCAAGTTTGCTAAATGCACACCGTGGCACTCGAGAAGCTGCTGTTTGTTGTTGACTTATATTTTTATTCTAGTATATTTAAACAATCTTGCTGACAAGTCAGAACTGCGCCCCAATGATGTCAGTTATTAATATTCTCTCTGGACCAAGATGTGAACATGGAGCCATGAGAACTGGGTTACACCAAGTGCCAGTCCTTCTTCTCTCAGCTGACCACTCCACTCTCTGAACTGCAAGTGAAAAATACAGGAAATGCTTTCATGAATGCCTAGGAAATATGTAGATTGATTGGATATCACTGCAGTCATGACAATAGAAGACAGTTTGTTGAAAGCTACTAGGAACTGCTTAGGCACCTTTCAGATGGACTAAGACAGCAACATGATGTTAAAGATCAGCTATAAAATTGGAGGACTAAGCAGAGTTTTGGCGCTATCCTCTAATGGTCACATCGTGATGCATCATCATGCCCACACTGGGCTCGTGGGATTCTATGCCGCTTGATTTCTGTGCAACTTTTAGCACCGCTGTGTGCATTTGGCTCTTCTGCCACTCCTCTGACTGCAACAGAATAAGTCTCACCAAGAAACTGAAATTAAAAAGTCAGCATGCTGTGCTGTTTATCAAGTAAAGTTTTCAGCAGAGTAGAAGCGCACACACCTCCAAACTGCATAGAGGCTGGCTGTTGGAATATTGAGAGAAGTTATTTGGATTTTCTAGACACTAAGAGAAGTTGCTAGTAGAAATACAAATTGTGTTTGTCATGCTGTCCAAGAGAAGCAATGGTATCCCATTTAGCAAAGGGGTGAGAACGGAGAAAACACATTACACATGAATCAACAGTGATTCATGTGGTTTATGATAGAAATAATAGAAAAGCTATTCATTACAAAAAAAGAATAATAATAACCAAAATGAGTGTGGACAACAGAGGTTCAGTGACATCAGCTCAGAGATAAAGAAGCATTTTGTATTTTCTTCAAAATCAATCCTTCAGACTCCATTTGCCAACATAAAAGCACACAACAGCATTTTGTGCCTGTAAAGAAACCCTTCACCTGCATCCTCTTGGGCTGCTGATAAGATGAAATAAATACAGTTCTCACAATGTTTCCCCCTCCACTGTAAGACTGAAATTGATGATGAACAAGTAAAAAAAAAAAAAAAAAAGTATCATTATTCATAGCAAAATTATTATAACTGTGAAGAACATTAAGTATCATCCTCATACGATTGCCAAAAAGGGAAAACTTTGGTGGTTGATAGGGAATTGCTTGCCTATACACTGACAAGTCTTTTTTGTTGTGACCAAATCATGTTCAGTCTTAGAATCCATGTTTTATCTGGTGTAAATGGGGCTTAACTTGTTAAGGTTTGTGAAAATCTTTTCTTAAAAAACACATATGAGTGATTCTATAATTGGAGATACATTTGGCACTTCAAGAAATGACAAAAAAAAAAAATAATAATTTCTTAAAAAGTTTCTTAGGTAGTCTATTGAAAAGGCATTAAACTTAAAAAAATCTGTAATTGCCAAACATTAGCTACATATTTTATAATTTTTTCTCAAAAAAAACGTATGTTTTGCGGTATGTTATGTCAACTCTGTTACGGACAATATAGACAGTGAGTGAAAAAAACAATAAATTCTAGCAGATTAAAATATTTTTATTCCATTACACCAAGTGTCCTACTACCCCAACACTTTAAATGGAGATGTTTTACTTAAAAATACATTTTAAAAAATCAAAAGATACTCAACTTTTCACAGTTATTCCTATAGGGTCAAACGTTTTTTCATTCAAACTCATTGAAAACCATCATTCTTTTAGAAATAAAATTGGTCAGTAATACTAAATCACAGCAGAAGTCAACCAACAATGTATATGATGCTCTGGACAACAGTTTTCCTTTTTTTTTTTTTTTGTGAAAGTATGTCATAAACATGTCAACTCTGTTACCTAACAGAGCTGGTGTTAGTAACAGAATTGACAGGACCATAATAATTTAGAACTGAAAACTCTGTTACTGTCAACTCTGTTATCCTATTTGGTAACAGAGTTGATGGTAATAGAAATGACAATTTCAAACATTTTTATTAAAAACTCCACTTGTGAGTAGAAATGCTGAAAAAAACATGACACCACTGAGATAATGGTTTAAAAACCATTAAATAAACTTGTCTCTGATCAAAAATCTGTGGTATTTTTCTCGTGATACTTTGGTAACAAGATTGACGTTGAAAACAATAACCCCTGGTGATTGTGATTTTTAAACTAAAATATTTCCCAGAGAATGGCACAAAGACCTCTGTGTGTTTGAGGTCTTATCAGTAAAAGTAAATGGGTTAATTTTATGCAGTTTATAAAACCGTAGAACGCAATTTCACAGATTTACAGGGACAAAACCATATGGTAACAGAGTTGACAAAAAATTCTCGGACACATATTTTTTCAAAAATAAGGGTATTTTGAATTAATTTAATGTGATGTTGTTATTAAATTGACCATTTAGGCAGTTTAAAAAAAGATAGAAAAAACAAATTCACAAAAGAAAAATTATAAAACATAGGTTTTTGCATGATTTTTCAGGTTAATAAAAAAGACAGTACTCAACCCGGACAACAAGAAGTCTTGGTTTGTCAGCTATATAAAACAATTTTAAATGTATTTACTTCAATGTTTTTACTTGTTAAAAATTATAATCCATTAAAATGAGTAATAAATTACTAAAACATTTAAAAATTGAAATATTTTAATATACCAGACCAAAAATAATGACTCTGGACATCAAATGTATCTGCAATTATAGAATCACTCATATACATGTGCAAATTGAAGGAGTAAGGAAACTATCAGGAAGATTTTACACTGAAAATCAAGTGAGTGACATTTAAAGAGTAAATATCTCCGATATCACGGTGGAAATAAAAAAAAAAAATAGGAACCTATCTTCAAAGAGAAAATTGTCTCATTTCACGTTTGTTGTCAGACGATGGCATTTCCTCTTCAGAAGACAAAACTGTTTTTTGTTTTTTTTTGTTTTTTTTTAATCGGCCCTTGAGGACACAGATGAAAAGCAGGACCAGCCCCTCGCTGGACAGCTGGACATGCCTGCTTGGTACTAAAGATCCTGATATCAAGCTAAAGCCTGCGGGAGAAGGCTGAGGTGAGGAGTGATTTTCCTCTCAGCAAACAGTGTGCAGATTGAGCCCTGGGAGGAAAAGTAAACACGTGGGAGAGTTGGCAGCCATGTGGGTGGTGTACTCATGGAGAGGGAGGAAGACGCTGCCAGGTTTATGCCAACCATCTGCCACAGCGCAGGCATTCCTTTACCTAAAGCTTCTGATGATTCAGAACGAGCACGAACACAAAGATGTGCACGGGCAACTTTGTATATAAAGACATGCTCTTTAGAGGAAAGAAATTCGCTTTCAGTTTACAGACTTAAGTCATTCTCCTAAGCTCTAACATACTGCCGTATGCTTCTCGCGTTAAATTAAAGGAAGAGTAATTAAATTAGCACAAAAAATTACTGTCTGCATCACTTTAAATATCATAGATGCCATCTCGGGAGACAAAATTAACAAAGTTACTAAGAAGAAATATCTGAATGGCTTAAGGAAATCTGGGCTAAAGTAGTGTTGTTTGGGGAGAAATGCAGTTCACTCCGCATCTGGGACATTCCAGTAGGTTGAAGCCAAAGAGTCCGTCAAGTACACAGCTGACCATTTCAGTTGCACATTCCCCATAAAACATAACTTATATAATAAATATTTCTATCTTGAGACATGTTAATGTTGGACAGCTGCATCTCCTGCCCCTCAGCACAGTGCGTGGTTACGAAAGCCTGCTTAATCCATGTGAACGTGGACAAAATGTGAACAAAATAACTTCTGCGCTAGCAAGCATATTGCATCAAAAGAAAGCCAACTGTCTGCTGTTGGAGATCCGAGCGTCCTCCGAACAAAAAGCGAAGCGGGTGTGCGTTAGCTTGCTGCT